GATAAAGATGAATTCATTGGATTTAGTCATGAAGAGATAATTGATGATCTTTGCAGAGGATTTCAGAGTACTGAGGGCGGAAGCCAAACTGGTGTGAGTGGGAAGAGGTGAAGAAGAGTGAATGTAGACTGTTCTTTCAAGAAATTTATCTGTGGAGGAACGAAGATAGAAGAGGATGCAGAATCAAGAGAAGTTTTGTGTTTTGTTTTATTTTTAAATGGTAGAAGTTGAGCATTTTTGGAAAGAGTAAGAAGAGAGAAAAATTGAAATAAAGGTGATTAGAGATCATCTATGGAAGGCAATGAAATCTTGAATGCAAGAGTCAGGAGGTGAGATGCCTCCTTTACTCTGATGTGGGTGGGGGAAGGAAGCAAGGGCAATTTTGACTGCAGGTAAGTAGGTAGTTTGCAGTCCAGGAAGTTTACTCTTGGAATCGGTTTCCTCTGTGAAGTAAGAAGCAGATTATCCGCAGTGTTAGAGTGGGGCATTGGAGCATATAGATGAGTTGTGAAAGTTTGAAAAAGCTGCTATGAGAATGGGAGAGGAAATTGATCAGAACACATAGAAAACTTCCTGAGCAATAAGAATCTCCAGCTGAAGTGAGAAAAACATGAATTGGTAGAAATACCAATCCACATGGTCATGGGACTTTTTGTAACCATGTTTGGTCGCCTGGGTGTCAGATTGCTACAGGGCTTAAGCTTGCTGAGTGGATCCTACAGAATGTCAAGGGAGTTGAGGATTTGGCAAGAAAAAACACTGAAAACAAGTATCATGTAGTCGGGATAGAGAAAAAAGTGAAGATAAGAAAAGAAAGGGAGACTGATGGGCAAATGGAGGGCTCAAGCGTCTAGAGCATAAATGAGATGAGAGTAAGGACATGAAATTTCTTGAGAAGGAGTTATGTCTATGCTAGTATATTTGAATGAGATATTATTTTAGGTGATCCTAATATCCAGGGGATATCCTCAAGAATGGATGATTAAAGTGAAGAGGAATGGTCTACCTCTTTCCCCACTGTATTCCCAGTTACTTAACACAATGCCTGGAACACAGTAAGTTTTCAGTATATATGTGTTCAAAAAATGAATAAAAATTCTTTATTTTCTACTTCGCAGTATATTATACCAATTCTCCTCTTCTTCACATATTTCATTAGTTAACTATAATTATGATAAATTCTCTAAAGGAAAACTACTGCTTGCTATGAGTTTGTGTAACATGGGATCCTGATTCAGTCTGGGGGGTTGGGGGTCAAGAAGTTTTCCTAAGGAAGTGACATTTAAGGTGAGAGCTGAAGAATCAGTAGGAGTAAGCCAGGGGATGACAGGTGGGGAGAGACTTACCAGTGTAAGTAAAAGATTTCTGAATATCTTGAGGTGGGAAGAAGCTGAAAACATTCCAACTGAATAGAAGAATAGAGATAGAGGCATGGGGCTGAAAGGGTAGGTTAGGACCATATTACATAAGGTCCTATAAATCATGAAGTACATTTTGATCCATTAGACTTAAAATGGGAAAAGTTGACATGCTATTGTTGTTGTTAGCTTATAAGCATGAATAAGAATTATAATGTTATATGGATGTGTGATTATACGCAGTGAAATTTGAAAGCTGAAAGATTATATTTGTCTAAAAAGTCTCCTCCAGCAGCCTACGCCTTTCTACACAACCTTATTCTTTTGGATTAAACAAAGTAAATGAATAGCCTTCCAAAAACCACTATAGAAATGCACTTTTGTTACCTGGAGAGAAAGTCTCTAGGCCTCCTTCTACTCTGCTAGTCTCATTTTTTTCCATTAGCTTCATGATTGGGTTAATTCGGTGTTTGCATAGGGAAAAGATAAGCATCATTAATGGAATATGAAGACCATTAGGAATAGCAGAGACCTTTGGCTGATGATGGGAAAGGGAGGCTCAGGTAGGCAAGCGTTGTAATGGAGATTTTGAATATTGGGCTGTCCCGTTGCACCTAAAGTTCCAGAGTATACTTGTTTCACAATTTTGTCTAATATAAACCTATGTAAAACCTCCAATTTTGCCAAGGTAGAGAATTACCACAGGCTGGCTGCTGACCCCAAGATCAATCTCAGAGGAACTGTAGGAAATACTGGGGAAAAACTCCAGAGAAATCCCCAGGGACAAGGAAGTCTGTTTTGAACTGGTGTGTGTGTGTGTGTGTGTGTGTGTGTGTGTGTGTGTGTGTGTGTGTGTGTACATCTGAAGCCTAGGGCAGGAGAGTTGTGTGGAAATTAGCGATAGAGGCTCAGACTGCTGGTCTAAGTGTCCTCAAGAATAACAATCAGGGCAGAACAGAAGCCAGAGTGTGGAAAACTGGTGGGGATTGATGGACCTTGAATGTTTACTCACACCTCCCTCTACCCTCAACTCCCTCTAGCACCTAGGAGTACTTCCTTTTAAGGCTGCTTCTCCTTGAGGGGTGGAGGGTGGGATGGGTTCTAAAAACAGTGCCTTGATCTTAAGAGTTATTTGGTGGCATGATACACAGCCTGAGCAATTAATTATGTAGTCTGGTGCTTGGAGTTCTCCACTTTAATGTTATCCCTTCCCCTCTCCTTGATCTCACTGGATGTTGACACAGACTGGGGTATGCCCTTTGGTCTTTTCCCGTACCAAATGCTAAGACAGAACAGCTGATAGCATCAGAGAAATATATGCTTAAAGGCCAAGGTAATGAGATATCTCAGGAGAAAAACTACTTGAAAAGAAAGCAACAACCTGGATTACAGATGCCACCAGAAAGCAAATATGTTAAATCCAATGGTTAACAAATATAAAATAAGCATAATAAATAACTGATAAGGAAATCATAAAAGTCAAGAGGAAATACTAGGCATGAAAATTATGTTCATAATAGTAGAAAGAACAGAGATGGATGCTAGAATAGATGTAGCTGAAAAACAAATTAGTGAGCTAGAAGATCAGATTAAAGAGCTCTCCTGGAAGGAAGAAAAGAAGAATAAAGAAAAAGAATATATGAAATAAGGCTTCCCTGGTGGCACAGTGGTTGAGAGTCCGCCTGCCGATGCAGGGGACACGGGTTCGTGCCCCGGTCTGGGAAGATCCCACATGCCGCGGAGTGGCTGGGCCCGTGAGCCATGGCTGCTGAGCCTGCGCGTCCAGAGCCTGTGCTCCACAACAGGAGAGGCCACAGCAGTGAGAGGCCTGAGTACCCCCCCACACCAAAAAAAAAAAAGAATATATGAAATAAAAGCTAAGAGATAAAGAAGATTGAATTGGAATGTGAACTTCAACTCACAGAAAATAGGAGTGTCAGGAGAAGAGGAAAATAAAAAGGAAGAAGAGGAAATACTTGAAGAAATGGAAATAAATTGCCTAGAATTAAAGAAAGATGAATGATGATGTTATGCAGTTCCAAACAAGAGCAATAAGAAGAAACTAACCCTGGCAATATTATAATGAAATGGAAGTTTTACAGGCAAAAATAAAATTCTAAAATTTTCTAGAGAGATAGAGCAGATCAATCACCAAGGAATAGGAATCACCAGGATCTCAGACTTTTCATGAGCAAAAAGAAGATAATGGTAATATTTTTAAAATATTGAAAAGACAAAAGAACATTGAGCCTAAATTTATATCCAGCCAAATTGTCATTTAAATGTGAGGGTATAATAAAAATATTTTCAGGCACATAAGGTCTCAAAAGGTTTGTCACACAAAGACCCATATAGAAAAGAGTATTGGAAAAGGTCCTCAAATAAGAAAAGAAGCAAATCCAGGAGATGCTACTAGAGGTGTATGACATAAAGATAATTAAATACTTGGATAAAGTTTGGTGTTGTCTTTCAAAAACTACCAAAGACCAAAGAAAAGAAAATGAGAAATTATGTCTACCATAACCTAGAGTTAAGTTCTACACAATATCAAAAGGTGGTGTCTTTAAGTTAGACACTTTTTTAAGATAGAAAAAAAAAAACAGAATAAATTTAAAGAAAGTAGAAGGAAGGATGAGTAAAATAATAGCAAAATTAATGAAATGGAAACAAAAATAACAATACAGAAGATCAACAGAGCCAAAAGTTGATTCTTTGAAAAAACTAATAAAATAGGCAAGCCTGTGGCAAGAGTGATCAAGGAAAAAAAAGAAAAGTAATTTAAAAACTAGTATTTTCTTATCATCTTTTAATCTCAACTTTAAAACCTCAGGAGTCTGGAGCATGAATGAGATAAGAGCAAAATATGTCAATGTTATTGTTTGTAATATCATCTCCACACTATAGAAATGCATTTGAAGAAAATGAAATGGACAACTTCCTAGAAAAATATAATCTACCAAATGAATTAAGAAGAAATAGAAGACCTTAATAGTGCCATAACTTTAAGAAATTAAAGTAATTTAAAAAATCATCTCACAAATAAAACTTTAGGCCAAGTGGTTTCGCAGGCAATTCTACTAAACTTTCAAGGAACATACCATATTAAACTTAGTACAAACTGTAATAAAGACTAGAAAAGGAGGGAATACTCCCAACTTATTTATGAGGCCATATAATCTTTTTTTTTAACCAAATAAAAAATAAGATCTCTCTCTTTTTTTTTTTTTTTTTTTTTGTGGTATGCAGGCCTCTCACTGTTGTGGCCTCTCCTGTTGCGGAGCACAGGCTCCAGACGTGCAGGCTCAGTGACCATGGCTCACGGGCCTAGTCGCTCTGCGGCATGTGGGATCTTCCCGGACCGGGGCACGAACCCGTGTCCCCTGCATCGGCAGGCGGACTCTCAACCACTGCGCCACCAGGGAAACCCTAAAATCTCTTTTTAAATTAAAGAATCCTAATGACTTTGAGGTAGATGAAGCTGTTATCAGATAATGAAGTAATTAGGTGTAAGATATAAAAATAACAAAACTGAGAGAAAGAAAGCACTGATTTGAAATTACCTTCTTTAAGTTTGGATGGAAAATTAAGAGCACGTCCAATTCAAAGTTCTAGGCATAAAATCCAGGTATGTCATGTGGTGGACTTACTTCTTCAACTTGGCAGCCAATGGGAAGAATCCACACTCTATGGACCAGCAAACTAAAAAATGACTGTCACCATGAAGAAGTCAGTGACTTTGCATTTGAGTTTTCCATCTTGGCTCATTCCCCAAAGTTCAGGCTTTGGAGTCCTAAAGTCTTCTTCAACATTTAACTAGTTCTTCGTTGGTGGAAGGGGCTGGGACTGTCTCTCCACATGTAAACTGATTTTTGTCATAAGTCACTTTTATAATGAGAGAGCAGCTAGGGCACGTTACCACGTCTTCCCTATTCTCCAGATCTTCCTTGGTGATGCAGAAGTTACTCCCACATGGGCAGGGGTAGAAGTACTTCTCCGAGTCCTCGTCATGTTGGAAGTCCTCAGTCTCCACCTCGTCGTGAAACATCGCCATCATTACTGGGGCCAGCAGAGGTCTGTCACCTCTGCTGTCCGACCCAGGCCAGGGTATGTCCAACTTGCCCATATAATCTTGATTTTCAAAGGAAAAGATAATATGAGAAAAGAAAATTACAGATAATTTCCTGAGGATTTTAAGTGTAGAAATCCTAAATAAAATATTTGCAAACTAAGTCCAACAGAGTATAAAAGTAAAATATACCATGTAGTTCACAACATTAACAGCTTTAAGGACAAAATAACATGATTATCTTAAAAGGTTTTGAGAAATATTTCATAGAAATCGAGCATAAATTCATGATAAAAATTCTTAGCAAATCAAGAATTTGCTTAACCTAATGAAGGACAATTATGTTATGGCAAACATGGGGAAACAGTAGGAGCATTCCATTTAACATCGGGAATGATTAAGGGTGCCCAGTATCATCATTTCTATTCAACCTTGTATTGACATTTTTAGCTAGTGCAATAAGGCAAGAAAAAGAAAGTAGAGGCATAAGGATCGGAAAAGAAGAAATAGAATTGCCAATTATTTGCTGATGACATGATAGCCTCGTAGAAAATCAAAGACACCTGGGGCAAAGTATTATATTATTAGAAATAATAGGAGAATTTAGCAAAGTCAGTTCATTTCTATACACCAGTAACAAATAACCATAAAATGTAATTTAAAAGAAGATATCACTTATGATATATTTAAAAAATCAGATATATAGGAATAAAAATTTTTAAAAAGATGTGCAGGACCTCCTTGGAGAAAATTTAAAACTATTGAGATTTATTAAAGAAGTCCTAAATAAATAAAGAGAAATACTATGATACATATTTCTTATTTCTTAAATGGAAAAAAACTTTAATATTATAAATATTTCAATTCTCCTCATATTGGCTCATAGACTTAATGCAATTCCAACAAAAATTTCAGTAGGATTTTAATGGAATGTGATAGTTTATTCTAAAATTTATGTGAGGACTTCCCTGGTGGCACAGAGGTTAAGAATCCGCCTGCCATTGCAGGGGACACGGGTTCAAGCCCTGGTCTGGGAAGATCCCACATGCCGTGGAGCAACTAAACCTCTGTGCCACAACTACTGAGCCCATGTGCCACAACTACTGAAGCCTGAGCACCTACAGCCTGTGCTCGGCAACAAGAGAAGCCAGCACAATGAAAAGCCCGTGCAACACAACGAAGAGTAGCCCCCACTAGCCACAACTAGAGAAAGCCCACACACCGCAAAGGTGACCCAATGCAGCCAAAAATAAATAAATAATTAAAAAAACAACTATGTGAAAGAATAAAGGACCAAGAAGTCAAACATTTCTATAGAGGAGTAGGGAGGGGAGATTTGCTTTATTAGCCAACAGGGTTTATTTTGAAGCTGTAGTATATAAAGCATGATATTTGTTCAGAAATAGAAAAATAAACTTTGGGCAGGTAGAAAACTCAGAACCAAACCCATGTATATATGGAATTTTGGTATATGACAGATGTGACCTGGCAGATCAATGGAGAATGGAGGGACTATTCAATAAATGTATCTGTAAAAACTGGTGATCTATAATGGAAAAAATGATATTGATTCCTTCCTTAAGTCGTTTGTAAAAATGAACTCCAGATAAATTAAGGACTTAAATGTTAAAAGTAAAATTTTGTAAATTTTATTAGAAAATATAGGTAAATACATTTCTGACTTTGAGGTAGGGAAGAATTTATTAAAGACACATAAAAAACCCTCTACCCATAAAAGAGAAATCTGATGACATTAAAATTAAGATCTGAACACCAAAAGATATCTTATGAAAGAAAAGAGAGAAGGTACCAACTGGAAGAGGATATTTGCAACCCAACTAACCAACAAAGGATTACTAGCAAGAATATATAGAGGTTTCCTCAAATTAATAAGGAAATAGCAAACAATCCAATAGACAATGGGCAAGAAATACAAACAAGAATTTCACAGAGGAGAAAACACAGATGATCAATAAAATCATTATGAGAAGGTCAACTTCATTATTTATTGGGGAAGGCATATTAAAACCACAATGAGATACCAACTTATACCCATTCAATGGGCAAAAATTAAGAAGTGGACAATGCCACATATTGGAGAGAATATGAATTAGCTGGGTACGACCACTTTGCAAAGTTTGTTGTTATCTGATGTTGAACATTTCCATATTAACTCAACAATGCTACTTTTAGGTATATACCCAAGAAAAACTCTATGTACAATAGGAGACATAAACAAGAATGTTCCCAGCAGCACTTATTGCACTCTTAGCAAGATAAATACCTGAAACGACCCAAATACTTATCAATAGAAAACAGATAAATTGTGGTAATTTCACACAACGGCATATTATATAGCAAAATAAATAGCTAGAAGCAAAAATATGAATAACCTGAGCAATAAAATTTTTTTAAAAAGGAAATTCCCTCATATTTTATAGAGCCTGAAGCTCTTTTATAATGTTGAAAACAAAGAAAATTGAACAATAGAATTATTAGGAATACAAATGTGATAAAGCTATAATTTCAAAAACAAGTTATAATAATAACTGCAAGATTCAAGGAAGGGGAAGTAGAGGAATAGACTGGGGAGAAGCCCATAGGTGGGTGTAAATGATTGTTAATGTTCTAATTCTTGTATTGGGTGGTTGGTTCACATGTATTTAAATTATTAATAATAATAAGCAAATTCATATATAAGTACATAGTTTATATAAATAAAAACAAAAGAGGACCATGCTTAGACCCGTGATGAGGGAGTGTTACAAATCAAAGATAATCCAATTCTGTGCTCTTGAGTGGAAAACCAAGAACAATATCAACTCCCTCACATGTTTTGCTTTTATTATTAGTTATCATTAATCCACCCAACAATCCTATTTTTCGTTACTACTATGATTTTTTTTTTTTGAGGCTAAACCACAAAAAGAATTTATTTAAGTGTCCTGAGAGGACAGGAAGGTGGGAGCTGGGAGAGCTAAGACCAGGATGTCTGATACTTGCTTCCCATATCCTGTAGAAAATGTTTTCTATTCCAAGACCTAGTCCTTCACATTTTTTTTGTTTTCCATTAGTGTTCTGTTTGCTCATCTGTATGTATAGCATTTCAATGTACATTTACATACAATTTACATACAACTTAATGTAAAAATGCCTTTTACTACAATAACCATTGTGTTAAACCACAGACTAAAAAGTTAATGTGTTGTAATATTAGCATGTCAGTGCCTAGTCCACCTTTAACTGCTGGCTCAATCAATAAATATTGGATGGCCATTTCTTTAATCATTTGAATTTTCATAAAATACATATCCAGTTATTCTTCCCCTCCTTCACCTGACTCGCTGTTAAACTTCCTTTCTTCCTTTTACTCCATCTCATATTCTGCAGTCAAGACTTTTCAGTACCTACTCTTCTGAGAGATTGGCTCAAAGAGACACAGATGTAGAGAACAAACGTATGGACACCAAGGGGGGAAAGGGGGTGGTGGGATGAATTGGGAGATTGGAACTAACATATATACACTAATATGTATAAAATAGACAAATAATGAGAACATGCTGTAATGCACAGGGAACTCTGTTTAACTTAGCTGTACAGTAGAAACTAACACAACATTGTAAAACAACTATACCCCAATTTAAAAATAAAGAAAATTTTATGTATTATGATTTCCTTTTTACAGATGAATCAAATCTTAGTGAGTTAACATAACTTGCTTGAGTCCACAAAGCTGGCATGTGGCAGATTCCAGAATGTGAAGTTTCATCTGTTTGACTCTAGGGCCTAGCCCTTACAACTGGGCTAGGCTCCTGGTCATTAAGATTGTTTTAACCACTAGTATACCAACCTAGAGTAATTGTTGTGCTGAGGATAACAATCTCTAGATATGTGAAGGTAAGAGTTCACCAAAGAGTTCATTTAAGCGTTTTGTCAAAGTATGCCATGGCAAGTTGAAGAATTTGCCCATGTGTGTCATAATGGAAAAACTGTGTAAAAATGAAGAATCATTGAGTAATAAGAATTTGAATGCAAGAGAGCTCAAGTAAGAAATGTCATGCACTGTTGGATCAGGAGTGATTCATTCCTTTAGTCTGCATAATGTTCCTTTTCCATATGCCCATGCAGGAATGTATAGATATAGAGACAATGTTCACAAAACCTTTTGAGTGGTTGTAAACGTGTTCTACACCTGATTTATTCTGCTTTGTGACCTCACCCAGACACCCTTCTTTCTGGTTTCTTGTGTCTTTAAAGCACATCAAATGTGAAGCCCAGGCCCCCTCTACTGGTTAGCCACATTTTGTCATAAGTGTCTTCCTAAATAGGCATCCATCCATCCCTGTGAGTAAAGATAAGTTGATGCTTATTTCTAGTGCCCTGATTTTTTTGGGAATGCAGAATTGACAGTGAGAAAGAGAGAGGAGTATGTATTTTTTGTGAAGAAGACAGAATGTCACCAAGAACCTGGTTTGTGGGCAGATGCCGTACAATGACTTGTATGGAAACTTTGGGGGAAGAAGATTGGAGGTGTGGAGATCGGCTTTAGAGGCAGCATTTGTAGCCTTTGCTTTATAGCTTAAAAGTCTATTAACTTTCTTTAACTCATCATCCAAATTAAATTTATTAGGTAATCCCACAGACAGGTGTCTTTTTGGGTGTACCTCTACCCCATTTCCCTTGAAGTTGGGATTCTCTTCTTCCTGTGTTTACTTGCCAAATCTATTCATCAGAGTAAAATGAGGACCTCTGAGGCAGAAATCACGTTTAATTTTCTGTCAGGTTCAGCCCCCAACTCCCAAATAGTGCATACCACATGGTAAATATCAATTATGCTACTTAGCTACCCTTTCTCAAATTGCCATGTAAGGACGGAAAACATCCCCATCCAGTAGTCCAAGGAAATTCAAATCAAAAGGATGAAAGAAGATGCTGACCACTCCCCAGAAGACCAAATACAGTAATTTTATTGTTGTGCACATAATCACTATTTGATGGGAAACATTTCAGTGTATGTTAGTTCCAAGATGTTGAAGTTCAATAAGTTCAGA